CACTTGTTAACAACCATCTAGAAGTAGTCTCCTTATAAAGGAATGTCACACTTACCACTTACCATCACAGCCACTTACTAGATAAGTGGTAAGTGGAATATGACACCCCTGTCTGTAATTTTCGCAATAATTATAGAAGTTTGTGGAGCGTCGAATTTTAAAGTAAATTGCTTCAGTTGGGTCTCTGAGAAGGACTCTGGTTCTCGCATGCTTAGATTAATTGCAAAGAGTACTTTCTTCAACCAGTAAATCAAACTTTGGTATCTTCAAAAGGCCAAAAAGTATCGGTTTCATATTTTTTTTACTACGACCTGGCACCAGTCTTTCATCATCGATTATAGAAGAAGACTATTGATAAAACTGATCAAAACAAGTGATTCTTACCAGAAAATGTATTGAAATGTGATTACGGGAGATAGTCTAATTTAGCCCAAACTCAGGAGAGTACGAAACAATGAAAAACACAGACAGAAAAGAAGTAAAAAATTGAGCAAAGAAAGTATTTTTTTGTCACTAACAAACGCCTTCATTGTTTACTCTGTACAAAAACACATTGCTGTCGAATGAAAAAACGAAGTATGACAGGCAGACAACGAGCCACTTTCTTTTTCTTTTTTTGAGCTTCAACCAAAGTAAATAAAAGGATTATTTCTTCAAAATAGAGAGTAACTGGTGGAAACTGAAGCGACTGCCTTCTATTTCGTTCATAATTCTTTGATAGAAAGTGTTCGAAGTTGACTTAGTGAGTGAATTCACTGCGTAGTTCTTACTCAGAACCGCATGCATAAGTTAAAGTTCATTCATATTTTCCTTCTCGACTCTATGGATGTGGGTGTCAGTGTGGCTGTGTGACTGCGGGTGTGGGTGTCGGCTATGCAATGTATGAGTGAAGTATGTGGGGTAAGGGACGCTTGATACCCACACCCACAACCACATCCTCTTAATAAGAAGAATTCAGTCAAAATTCTCCTGATATTATTCAATTACAAACAGAATTCTGGAGTATAGAAAATATCATGTCATGTTTAGTATTGTCAGATTCTGAGTTTTGTTTGATAAAAATTCTGCAGTTGTCTTTTTTCTATCATTTAAGATCTTTCATTCACTTTTTGACCCAGTTTTATTTTATTTTATATAATTGTTTTCATATATTATTTTTGAGACATTCAATGAATTAAAAAAGAACGCATTAATTACTTTTTGATACATTGAATTTGGTATTCCTTGTTGTCATCATAGTTCTAGTGAACCACTTTATATTGGTGAACAACTTGTACCTTTTCTTAAGATTTATATGCCTCATTTAAATACATAGCGCCTCTAATGACCAGATAATTTTCCTTGAACAACTGGTTAGTTTATTTTAAATAGAAGAAAATTAGTTACACAATAGTTTGACAGATATTTGTATGTCAATGTGAATGAAAACTTTCTTTTTTGAGATTTAGAGAAACAATTGTATTTATATTAATTGAATATATGGGTGAATTCGTGGGGTTTCTATCGGGTTTGTGAGAGAAGATTTCTTTTCTAATGATTTTAACATTCTATTGTCATTACATGTAAACTCGTCAAAAAACGATCAAAGGTAACAAAAAAAAACATTTTTTGGTACATAAAGCTTGCGGGGATATATAGGTCATTTTTTAGAAACAACTTAATATATTTGTCATTCAGTACATTCATGAGTCTCAACCACGTTTCAAAATGATGACATTTTCAGCATCTCTAGAGCTTTTAATTCTAAGCATTTTCATAAAAAAGTTTTTGTTTTATCGAAAGTAGACTGAAAACACCATAAGTACTGAAGGAAGCTATCAAAACAATTCTTCAAAGGTTCATGAAAAAAATTATTCTTTGAGTTTTTCGGTTTGTCACTGCTTAGAGTGTTTTCAGTCTATTTCCCACAAAACAAAAGCTTTTTGAAAAAAAATTACCAAAATTCTTAGAATTAATAGTTTTACAAACGCTGAAAATTTCATCATCTTACAATGTGGTTGGGACTCATGCATATATTCAATGACAAATACACTGAGTCGGTTCTAAAAAATGGTCTGGATGTTCGCAAACTAGGGGTGTGGATGTAGGATGTGGGGGTGTGATTTTGGGTGATAGTAAGATTCCTTCCCACACCACATCCACACCCAAATTAGATTCATTTATGAATGTGAAAGAAACAATACCACTAATGTTCTCTACAAAGCATTGTCACAAAACATTCATAAAAGGATTAGTATAGAATAGTTGGTTCAAAAAATACACAGTATTTGACAAGTTATTGAACTAATACTCCGATTATGAACGATCTATTAAAATTAATATCATTCAAAATATGGCATTCTAAATAATTGAGACAACAAATAATTATAGTGAACAGCAGAAAAATATAAATTAACTTCAAGAAATTTTCATAAGTGGAAGCACCCAAACACGTATGATCGATGAATATATTGCAAAAACAAAGCTATCCAATAAAACTACAACAAACGAAAATGATAAAAAAAGAAAACCAAATACTGAATGCCAATTGCCATTTGAACATGGACTAGGAGTACTAAAACGAAAATTAGAACAAATAAAAATAAAAATATTTGTTTCCTATCCTAATCAACTCGCAATAGGAGTTACGGACCTAGTTTAACAAAAATCCAGATTGAATTTTTTTGAGTAACATGCAAATAGAGCGCTTTATAATGGCCAAACAAAATATGCTTTAAATAAAGAAATATCACAGTCAGAACCAATAATTAAAAACTACTACATTTAATTGAATTCGAAGATTGCAGAACCTCATTAAGATAATTCATATCAATACGCATCTGCTTTGCATAAACAATTTGTCATTGAGAATGAAATTCGTTGGAAAAACCGACGAATCAAAGAATAAATTTATTTCATTTCACTATCGTGCCGTCTCATTATCACATGCTTAATATCAGAAAGAAAATATGAAAAAAGTAAAATAATAAAGAATTAATACATTCATTTACAACATCTGAAGAAGATAAAGCCAATTATGAAAACTTTCTGTCATTACTTTATTCAAATATATATTACATAAATAACATGATCAATTAACATTATTTTCTTTTTATTTTAGTTTTAATTTCCTGAATGAAGATATACAAAAATAAATATACATAATGAAAACTGAAAATATTTAATCAATTAAAGTTAAAATTTCCAACCAAAACAAAAACAAGGTTTGTTTACATGATATTCACATCATTATTAAGCGCACATTGTGACGCACATTTTTTGTGTATTAGTATCGTATTTGTTCGAAGGACGGATAAAAGAACAAGCAAAAAAAAGATAAAATTTTCAAGCAGGGACAAGAAGGTATTTTCTAAGAATAAGCTGACCATAGCTGGGGTGCATTTTGATGAATAATTGGTTGTTGTTGGATGAGTATTGTATGTTTTTAGGAAGGGGAAATAAGAGAACAAGCAAAAAAATGGAAGATTCCCAACGAAGAAAAACAAAATGTGGTGAGACAATATCATCATCGTTAACAAGAGCTTAGTTTGATGCTCATTGGCTATCTTGTATAGGGGTACCTTTTGGCGGTACAAACGAAGAATTACAGAACAAGCAAAAAAAGGGTATATTCCCCTGGAAAAAAAGAAGGTACGTGGGAAACTATGGTCATCATTTTTCGCGACACGGTTGGATGCGCGAGGTAAAAGAGATTCTTCAAGTATAAATACTCCAGATTATGTTTTAGTTGAAACACAGAAGAACGTCGACAATAAGTGGTATTCCAATCGCATCCCAGCAATATTCTTTACCAATACAACAAGTAAACGTACGTAGAAATGAAGCTATGGTCTCTTTAGATCTTTTTAGTAATAGGTTCCGACGAGACTTTTCTTTGCTAAAGTAGTGCCACTTAATATGTGTAATATTATTTTCTTACCAGGGTATTTACTGTCTGTAGACAAAAACATTTCAAGATGCTTTACGAAATGAGCAGCAGTGATCATCTACTGTAAAATTAATCGCCTCACAAAGAGTCTTTACTTATTATTGTCACTTTGGTTTGTGATTTACACCTTATAAAATAAGCTGTTCATAGTTCTATTTTTTAACAGATTGAAGAGATTTGGTCTCGGGAAAAATCAAATAAAATGCTACATGGAAAATAAGTTTTTCATAATGTTTTAGAGAAACGGTTCTCGTTCAGTTTAGGAGCAACGCATTACCTAAAATCTTCTGTATAATAAAGAATGAGGATAAATGAATCATTTGTCTTTAGAAAATAGAGATAAGTAAATCATTTGTATTTAAAAAATAAAGATACAATGTGGGTGTAGGTTGTGAGGTGTGAGTTAAGGGACGCTTAGTACCCATACCCACATTCTTTTGGGTTTTCAAGATAACTAAATAATCTGAAATCTTTGCATTTAGCCATAACCGTATATTTTAATTTTAAAAAAATCCATTCTTGTACTGCATTTTGCATGAATCAATGAATATAATTATGGTAGCGAAAAAAGAAATTTGCTAAATTGTTTATTGCTATTGTTAGATTGAAGATCTCGCATTGCAATTGCTTAACGAATTCCTCTGTTGCTAACAAATCTTCATGACCGGCTTGTAGTTTTTTACGTCGAATGGCAAGGCTGCGCGATAATATTCTGGTGCAGTATTCAAATCGCCTTTTGCTCGATAACCAGACTAAGGTTCATCAATGTAGTAGCTGTATCCGGATGATCCGGACCGACTGTAATTTCTCTCATATGTAATGCCTGATTCAAATAATCGAATGCGTCTGGTAAATTGCCTAAATGGCGATGAACTTGGCCCATATTATTGAGTATCCGAGCGAGATCACTATGCTCTTTCTCGACATATATCTGTCGATAGAGATTCAAAGTTTGTTGATAAAGCAATAATGCTTGAGCGAATTTTCTTTGACTACATTTTACATTTGCCATAGAATTATAAGTATTTGCAATGTCTGGATGTGTATGAACCAAAGTTAATTCATAGATTCGTCAAGTTCGATTCATATACTCAATTGCTTGATCATAATGTCCTTGTGAGCGAAGAACAACGGCAATAGTAAACAGTGTTCGCGCAAAATCAGGATGCGTAGGAAGTAAAATGCATTCCTGAATATTTTTCACTTCTTGTAATGCGTTAAATGCTTCATCCCATCGTGCTTGTTTCATATAAACATATGCAATATCTCGTGTACTTTTAGCCATATCAGGATGATCATCGAAAATGCCTGCTGCTCTCTTAGCTTCTTTTGCTTGTTGATATAGATGGAGAGCTTCGTCATAGTGACCCATTTTAACCTTCACTGTACCCATGTTTGAAATAAAATATCCTAAATCGTCATGGTTTGGGAATCGTTCAAGCATATCGACTGCTTGTTGAAAGACATTTAGTGTTTCTACAAGTTTATCAGCTCCCATGAGTATCACACCTTTGTTATTAATTGAGAATGCTATATTATAAGTTAGTTCGGATTCTTGCTGCTAAAAAGCAAATGCTGAGTTAAACGACTTAATCGCTCGAGTAAAATCACCTTTATTAAACCAGGTATGACCAATATTGTTCGTGGCAATACTGCTAACGATTCGTACTTCAATGGACGCACCATCTAAATGAGAACAGTTACCCGTGAATTTATTTCAGTATGAAATGGTTTGTTTTGCTCAGATCTGAGAGAAAGTTCTTTCAACTCTGCTGGCAATTTTATAAACCAATTAAAATGATAGATTTTGTTGCAAGAATAAATAGTAGAATATATTTAGGGTGTCGATGTGAGTCAGAGATGCTGAATGGGTTGGGTTAGCAATGGTACCTATTGGGTTGGATCACTCATGGGTTAGCTCTAATCTAAACCAGTAAGTTGGAAAAGCCATTTTATAAATTTCAAACCTGATCCACCCATCAAAATTTCAGTAGCGTCAAACTTGAAACTTGAATTCAATTATTGAAAAGTTGTTTCAAGTATTCAACTATTCAATTATTGAATACTTGATGTTCAACTATTCAAGTATTCAATCATAACATTATTGCTTTTTGGACCAGTCCCTTCGCCGCACCCACGCCTGATATCGTGATGTGTGTGTTTCTCTATGATCTTTTTCCTCAGTATCTTCTACAATAGCAGCTAATTTAAATGTTGAATCTAGATCAAAGAGAGTTTCTTCTTCTTCGTCAAATTGACTGAAACAGCTAATATCAGCATAAACAATATGTTCAACATCAGCATAAACAATAATTTCATAGATAACTTCAATCTGAAATGGAAATGTAATAAAGTCGTTTCCAAACTTTTTATAATCTTTTTGCTTTACTTTATTGAGAACTTTTGTGCCGCTTGAACAAAATCGCTCCGCTACTTGACGATCACATGAAATGGACAAGAACCCACGCGTTGAGATTAGATCACCGATGCCTATTTCTTTTCGCAGTTTTTCAAATTTATCTCGGTCCATGCGAACTCCTCGGTAACAAATTACTCCATTGATGGGTCGTGGTGTGTCTTCGAGCAATTTGCACAAATCAACAATACAATAGCGTAGAGAAAACAAAGTATCAAGGTCGAGAGCACGCATTGCTTTATTAATGATATCAGAAATGAAACTAGGTCTGGTATACCACCACAGTGCATGATCTGGTTCATAAGTGTTTACGAACTTAAGCAAATTTTCCTGTTGTGTAAGATTATCACTGTAATACTCGCGAAATCTTTCTATCATTTCACTTTTAGCTTCATCAGATTTTTGAAGTCTTCCAATAACGTTTCGAAATATGTGAAACCAAACAAAACTTGCTGTTTCTGTATTTAAATTTCGAAAAGATTGCTGCTCCTGATGGTAGACATGGGCTCGTTCAAAAGAACTCAACACATTAGATATATCACTTATTAATTCAAAAGGAGAGTCTGAGACGCAATGAATTTTTGGTCTGGAACTAAAACATGTCTGTTTTGTTTTATCGAAACCAATGATAAAGTTGTGTGCACATCAGAAGCTATACTGAGGAGCAGCGGCTCTTCAGTAACTGATGCAGCTACAATAAGAAATATTAAGAGACATTTGTCACGATGCAATTTCTTTACAGTTGCTTCACATAATTGAGTATCGGTGATAATCATAAGATTAAAATCCATCGTACGCAAAAGCTTTTCGGTTGTGTCATTTGAATGCGCCGATAGATCACACCATACGAGACGAGTAGTATTTGCTGGAATTCGAGAGTTGAGTCATAAAACATCAGGTTCATCGATCGATCGAAGGAAAGTAGGCGAAATGCGATTCATAATAATAATAAAGTACAGAAGAATAGCATCAACTGTAATCAAAATGGATGGAAGAATATGGTATGGACGATAAAAGCAATTGTTTTCAGAAATATTATCACGGAGACAAAAGAAAAAAAAAGAGCATTAAACTATGTCGTCAATTGATCTTCTATTCACTTCTTTGTTTTTTTTTGATTTACTGATATTCTATGTGAGCAGTGATAACAAGTAAGTAAATAAAAGCTTCATTTTAATGTACAGTTTGGAGGGCTTGATGCGTTACTAATTTTCAGTGGTAAACGTATTATTCTTTTTTTCAAGCGAATATTCGATTCTAAATGAAGTAGATATAGGACGTGTTCTGCTTAAAACAGCATCAGATGGAAATTATTCGGGGTGTGTGCGTCGATGCGGGTGGAGGATGAGTTTTGTTTTTACCAAAGCCTACACCTTTCAATCAGCGTCATTATTGAGATTGCTAAATTTTTATGGAAATCATACACGTTTTCAAAAAAAAAAGAGGCAGGATGTGGGTGTAGCGTTTATTTTGAGCAGAGGATGTAAATGTGGAGTGTGAGTGTAGGCTTAGCTGTTCATCTGACCTACATCCCACACCAACAGCCACACCCCACCATCTAAAAATCAAATTTTTGATAACGCTAAAGTGTGTTCGGCCGTCCGTTTACACGATAATTTTTAAAAGGAGAGTCCGATTGCGATTGAATTTTCTACACAGTTCAGTCTTAACAACATCTCGGTCGAGTTCGAAGATGAGCATGATTGGCCGAGCTGTTCCTGAGTTATTGCAAAAATACTCATTTTTCCCTATGGCTTCATATGCGAAAATCGACCTATCCCCGATTTCGTAAACAACTTTTCCTATCATAGTCAACTAAAACCCCAACTATTATATACCATTCGATAGAGAATTTCACAAGCTACAAAATTGTATATAAAACACAAAGAAACAAGAAGATTAACTCAACGATTGCACAGATAACTAAGCGGAAATCGGTTCTGTTTTCGTCCACACTCTAATTGATCCACACTTAGAGCTCAATCTTCTGATCACAGAGATGATACTTTGAGGTTTTCTAGACTGGAGAACTCGAATCTGTACTCCACTTACCTCGAAATCCTATTGGTTAAGGGGTAACCACTAGAAATCAAGTGATAGAAAAAAACGACTTTCTTAGGGTAAATCAAGACGACAAGTTCGAATCTGAGCTGTATTCGCCCCCAAGTCATAT